ATATATACATATATATATATATATATACATATATATATATATATATACATATATATATATATATATATATATATATATATATATATATATTTATGGGTAATTACTTTTATTACATTTAAAAAAAATTGTGAATATTTTTGAAATTATTTTACGGATTCAATGGGTCTAACGAGTTCGTTCATTGAGTTTGAGTATAGTGGTTAGTGCTCGGTTAAATAATTACAACATCTACAAGAATCAGACCCTAACTCGTTTTTTTTTTTTAAATTACGAAGAAAAAATATAATACTATTTAACTAAATTATGAAAATTAAATCCTATCTCATTTGTGAAATTAATAATTAATTTTTACTCACCTCAAATTAATGGTGTGCATATTTAATCATCTATTAATAAATCCAACCTTTGTGACTTGGATTGATAAGTAGTTGACTTTGACATTGCATCTTTAAACCAATTTTTTCTTGTTGCACCAGAAAGACATTACTTTATTTAAATTTAGTACAAGAACAACCATAGGATCAGATTTCTTTTTCAGACGAGCAATACCAACCCATAATATTTATCATATCCAAGACATTCTTGTATGTATTCTTTTAAAATTTTAAAATATTTTAATATAAATTTGAATGTAGTGTTGTATAGGGGTGGAAATCCGATGGAATGGATTGGAATTTTGCGGTCATTTTACAATTTTGTTTGGAAGTAAAAAATGGATTATAATTTTCGTTTCAAAATAATCGGAATGCGATTCCGAGTTCGGAACGCCTCAAAATTGGCAAAATTTCGGAATTTTTGAAAACTATATTAGTTTATAATCTCTTGTTCCAAATTCGATTTAATAGAAATTTTCACAATATTTTTCTATTTTTTTTGAAGTTTTGCAGAAAAATGCAAGAAAAATTCAAAAGAGAGTTCGACAAATTGCAATAAATAAAACCACATGTAAAAACAACAAATTAAAACAGAAATTTTCTAATAAAGAAAAATCCAATAGAGAGTTTCTTACCAATTAGTCTTTTCTAAAGTTTTAATTTACTTGATCCTTGGGTATTTATATTTTTCATATAAAATATAACGCAGACACCGATTCCGTTACAATTAAATTCGGGAAAAATGGAAATCAGAACTGAGGAGATCGGAATGAAAAATACGATTCCAATAATTCGGATTGCATTTTTCCGAAAAAAATAAAAATAGAATATCAAAATTTATGCACGCCCGGTGGGACTCGAACCCACAATCGCCTGATTAGAAGTCAGACGCCTTATCCATTAGGCCACGGGCGCTTTTTGTTCATCAGGACCCACATGCACTAATTAAATCCAACTAAAAATAGATAATTCAATATTAAAAAAAGCATGGCGTCGAAAAAAATAAAGATATAATTGACGCTTTAGTCAGTTCAATCAATTTTTTTTAGCGTATCATAAATATTTATTGAACATATATATAGAAATAATAGCACTAGGAAAACAACAATATTATGCATATAATATGAACATTGTGATATTTTCTAAAAAAAAAAATTAACATTGTGATAAGAAAATTAACTAAAATAACCTTATATTCTCTAATCGGACGATATTTTGTTCGAATCCCACCGGACGTGCATTATAAATATTATTATTTTTCACACGATCTACAGTTATAAATATTTACTTGTTCACTACACAAGTGAAATTACTAGTCCGAAATAAAAGAGAGGGGTGAACTTTATCAACAAATGGGTTTATTCGTATATTTCCATTGTTTAGGGGCTAATACGAGAATTTTAATTTTACGGGCTTCAGTCTTTTCAACAGTTTGATTAATTAAGGTGAATTTAAATTTAATATTGTAACTCAAATTGATTATGAAATTATAGGCGGCCCATTATTTGGATATGTGCCTATTGAATTGGAGGTAACCAATCTAAAACACAATTTTATAATTTTAATAATATTATTAAACTAAAAACAAAATCCATTTTATATTTATACAAAATAAATAATTGGTTTGAGTTTTTTCCAACTGTACTACGATTTAAACATTTTTGTGTGTAAAATACTGAGCTAAATTTAGAGGGTTTTCAAATATATATAACTTGTAATCATATATATATATTGGATAAACTCTGTTCTCGTACAGTAGTGAAGTGTAAATTTTTTCGATATTTTAGCTTAAACAAAATAGCCTTGATAGACTATATATAAGTGACATTTTCCTAAGCAGTAATTGTATGACATTTCTACCATTTAAGTAGATGGCATGGGAAGCATGATTAGGCCTTCTCTATCACATTAAGTTTCTGATTTTTTTTTTTTTTTTTTTTTTTTTATTATTTTTTATAAAAAATTACAACTTTGTGCTAGTTTACTTAGCAAATATATTGGAAAATGTTTATTTAAATGTAGCTAATTTCCCACTATCTATGTAGTGAAACAAATAGTGCAAATATGAAATATATTAAAGAAAGTCAACTTTTGAACTTAAAAAAAAAAGTCAACTTTTGAACATAAATTTGAAATTGTACATATAAAACATTTATCTCATTAATTACTAGCTTTCTACCAAATTCTTATAGTAAGTACTGACAATAAATTGTACTAATAGGATTTTGTTTTTTTTTTCAAATAAATATAATACTTTATAAATGACTAATGAATTATAGGGTAAATTACACCCACACCCCTGTGGTATGCTTAAATAATTTTAAGGTCCCTATGGTATCGATAATTAGACTCACCTCCCTGAAACGTAGTTAGAAACTTTAACGGGATAATGCATTGAATACATTATTCAGATATAATTCTAATGGACTATTACTTTTAGCTAGTGATGGAGATAACATAGAGTTATGGGGTGACATGGCTCCCCCAATATTTCTTAAATCACTCATAACTCTTTGTTGTCTCCACCACTTCTTGAAATCAATAGTCCGTTAGAACTATATCGTAATAACGTGTCCAATGCATTATCCCATTAGAGTTTATAGCTACGTTTCAAGGCGGTGAGTGTAATTGTCAATACCGCAGGAACCTTAAAATTATTTAAGCATACCTCAAGAATGTGGGTGTAATTTACCCTAAATTAAAATAGACGTACCCCAAACAAATATGAATTCCGACCTCTAAATGGGACAACTTTTGAAGATTGATACCATTTAAGTTTCAACTAAAGTTTAGTTTTTGTAGATCGAATAGCAAAAAAAAAAAAAAGATTCAATGTATATTTACTATTTATACCATGGTAATTTAATTAAATTTATTCATAAAATAATTAATTAATTTGTGCTAAATATAAATATTCTTGACCATAAGATTAATTCCAGTACAATTTTTTTTTATCTTTAAAGATTATGACTTATGTTGAAATGCATATACACACAACTAGGAATAACAATGGGTACGAGTTTGGCGGGTTTCGGACCCGGAATCGACCCGTTTGGGACGGGCCTGAGTCAGCTAAATGGTTTTGGGTCGGATTACAGGTTTTATTGGAACCGACCCAGAACCGACCCATATATATATATATATATATATATATATATATATATATATATATATATATATATATATATATATATATATATATATATATATATATATATATATATATATATATATATATATATATATATATATATATATATATATATATATATATATATATATATATATATATATATATATATATATATATATATATACGGATTTCATTTATCAAACTATCAATTTTCATCTTGTGTATTCTCATGTACCTATTTTCACTGTTTTGTTTTTCGAATCTGATTTCTCGTGAGTAATATTTATCACTTGTCGACCAACGCTAATTGTCTTGCATTTTGAATTTACTTATTATCGAAGTTAAATATAATTAATTGTAATTTTATTGTTCATCTTATATCACTTGTAGAGATTTTTTTAAAATATTGTATTTTAGTATTGAGATTATTTCGTAAAAGTATACAAGCAAAATGTTATGAAAGTTAAAAAATGTTAAACTTTTTATATGTTAATGGGTCTGGCGGGTCATAACCGTTTAGTTAGAGTTTGGATTGGAGCGGGCCTGAGTCTAAGCTAAAACGGATTTGGACAGATCTTGAGTTTATGTATTTTTCGTAGATCGAGTCTTGGGTTTAAGCAAACTCGACCCAAAATTGATCTGTTGTTATCCTTATACACAACTGTTTTATGTGGATCACTATGCACAATGCGCTATAACAATAAAATATGCATCTTTATTAATAATAAATATTTTTAATAGATTTGATTATTGACTGAATTTTACTACTGTTGGTCTACACACCAATGTAGATGAGTGTGTTTTTAATCAAAACTTTTTATGTATATGTTGTAAATATTCATCGAACATATTTCTGCCTTAGTATAGTATGAATTTTAAAATTCGACAAATGCAAAAGAAAGGAAAACAAAAGTCATAATGGAATATGGCCACGTTTTAGATATGGGGTGGGAGTAATTGCTGGAGGGAGACACGTGTTCGATACACAATGGGGCTCAAATTAATTTTATAGGCGTGGGCCCAAATGAAAGATTTAAAATTAATTTTCAAATGTGTAACTCGAACGTAAATTACAATGAGAACCCTGTTTTAAGGTGGATGTAACTGAAAAACAGTACACAGTTTAGTTTGCTTTCAATTAATCCTTTGACTTAATTTAACCACCCCACCCCCCCCCCCGAAAAAGTACCCCCCCCCCCCCCCTCCCCCCCCCCCGGCCCCCCCCCCCGCCTGACCCCCCCCCCCCCCCCCACCCCCCCCCCCCCCCCCCCCCCCGTCTCATGCCCCCAACCCCCCCCCCCCCCCCACCAAACTACCCGACCCCAAACCAAAACCAACAAACACACAAAACCACGACAAAACCCCCCCCAAAACCACCACCTCACACACAACAACCAACACCAAAAAAACCAAGACAACAACACACCACCACACCACAAACAAAACAAAAAACACAACACACAAAACCAAAACCACCACACCCACCAAACCCCAAACACCCAACCACAAAACCCCCAAAACACCCACCCACACAAAAACAAAACCCAAACAACACAACAACCACAACCCAACCCCCAAACACCACCCACACCAACAACAAAAAACAAACACCCAAAAACCACCAACCAAACAAAACAACACCCACAAAACAAACACCACACCGCCCACCAAAACCAAAAAAACCCAAAAAAAAAAAAAAAGTTAAATAAAACCTATTTCTTCTTTTGCTTATTAATTACCTCCCCTTTTTATTAGGGGAAATTTGCTAGACACCCCTTGTTTTGGACTTATATAGCTAGAGATCCTAGTTGTTAGATGAATATAGGCCTAGGTCCTTTGACCCAATAAATTAATATAAATAAATTAAAATAATTAGTATATAGACCATAACACCCTAAATTAATAAGAAAATAAATCTTATATATCTTCTCTCTCCAATCTCACGTTACTTTTTCCCTATATAATTCCTCATCTCTCTCCTTCTGCATCTCAATTCTCACGCCTCTCTCTCTCTCTCGTGCTTCTCTCTTTTTTTTTTTTCTTTTTCGTTTTCTTTTTTTTTTAGTGAAGAAATATTACAGAGATGAAAAAAAACAAGGATCTTAATAGATTATGAGAGGATTTCTTTGTGAAAAAATTAAAGAGGACGACAAACATCACCTCCCAAAAAAAATCAGAAATCCAAAATCCTAGTCAAATTCGCATTGTGTTTTCCGTATGTAGAACCTCCCATCGTTTATTGTTAGAAATTTCCGTTTGCAGTTGGTTTAATTTCGTTTGTTGTTTGAAGAATTGCGTTTGATGTTGAGATTCGATTCCTCTGGTTTACAATTTGCAAGGTATGTCTTAAGTTACATTTTACAAACATTTTTGTTTAATATTTTTGTTGTTTGCAAATTGTTCTATAAACAATTTTTTGGTTGATGTTTTTAATGATGCTGATTTTTTTTTATTTTTTTTTCAGTTTGCTGTTTGCGTTTGGCCAAGTCATAGGTAGTTTATTGCTTGCAATTCAATAATGCAAGTTTTGCTGAATGTTTTTCTTCAGTTTGCTGTTTGCATTTGGCGAAGTCATAGGTAATAATTTTTTGTTTGTAATTTAGTAATACAAATTATGAATTTTGTTTTTTCAGTTTGCTGTTTGCGTTTGGCGAAATCATAGGTATTTTGTTGTTTGCAATTCAATAATATAAAATCTAATTTTCAGTTTGCTATTTGCAGTTCGCGGAGTCATAGACGTCGCAGTTCCCGGATCATAGGCGGTGGTGGGGCTACGGTGACGTTTCTAGAGTATGAGTTTGTAAAATAAATTGTATATTTTCGTTATGAATTAATGTATTTGTTTTAGTTAATATTTGGAAGAGATATGTTTGGAAATTTGTTATGATAGAGAGATTTTTTGGGATTTGGTTTGATTTAATTAAGGGTATTTTTGTCATAATAAATATTATTAATGTATTAAAACATTAAATTTTGACTTGAATTTACACACATAAATTATAATATAGAGGGACCTATAGCAAATTGCCCCTTTTTATTATTGTTATTATTATTATTATTATTATTATTATTATTATTATTATTATTATTATTATTATTATTATTATTATTATTATTATTATTATTATTATTATTATTTAATTAACGTTTTTGGTTTTTATCTAACACTTCTATATAATATTATTTTACAAGAAAATCTACGGCCATTTGTAGCATAATTTGTTGTAAAATCTCTATAAATAAATACAATCAGAATTAGAGAAATTTTATTAATTTAGTGAAATATTAAATTATCGAGTAAATAATTTAGCATGTTTTCACCGAGTTGGGACCGAGAGAAATTATTATTTAAACATTGTTATTAATTTATCGATGTTCTATTGTAGACAAAATCCACCATCGTGCAATACCTCGTAAATTACGGGAGATATGTAAACTAAATTAGACTATTTGTACGTGTGACGAATTCGACCTACTAAACTCTAGCACTAGTTTTATTTTATGTTATCAAATGTTGGCGAAGGGTTCGAACTCTACTTCTTAATGCTAAATATTAATTCGTACTTAAAAGTAAGGGCTAGAATCATTTTGCCCACCATACGTCGTTGCACATTGCCACCTGAACAAAATGAACGATTTTTTCTGAACACGATTATTTGCATGTTCGGGACCCTAATTTTAAGGGGTACAAATGTCAATTAATATTAAGAACTTTTCATACCGGCGGAATATTCACGGAGGTACTACAGAACATGGCAAGCCTCTTTTAATGGAAAAATAAAATTTAATGGTGATTCGATTCATCGGACACGTACACGTCATGGACATCCCGCCTTTCTATGTTCAATAAATTTGTATTGAACTATTGAGAGTGAAGATATTCGACATAATGTCAATATTCCACACCAAAGTTTCCTTTTAGTTCAAAACGATCGGTATGTAGAATCATAACAAGGAATTATACAGAGAAGGTTCGAAAACGTATTTATTCCGACTTAGACGAGGAAATGCGAGCACCGATGTGTAACAAATGTCACATCTACACTCCCACTTAATATTTTTTTTATAAGAAAATTCACGGTCATTTGAAGTACAGTACCTCATAAATTACACAAGAAACGTAAAGTTCATTAGACTAACCATCTGTTGACAAATAATTTTAATGTTTTCTATTAATTATTGGCGAATGATAAATATTAATTCACTACTAAAAAAGTAAAGAAAAAAAATATAACAAGGTTGTACATTTTCTGGATTGTCAGATAATCGTAATCTTATTATACGAGAGTGTAAGTTGACCCACCTATTTAGTTGGCTGCATGTTCTTTAATAAAAAAAAAAAAAAATAATCGTAATCTCATGAATTTATTACAAAATAAAATTACTATTACACTATACTTTATTTCAAAGAATGAAATATTGACAAAATAGGGAGTTAGTCAATAAATAATCCATTTACTTTCTCACTCCAAATTAAACACCAGTAAAGCACCAAACACCACCTCTCTCTCTGTGCGTACACACACACACACACACACACAGAGACAATAACACCTACATGGATACATACATATATATCACACCTCTGTATCTCTCATGTGTTGCAGCAGGAAGCAGCTATGTGTTGCTGACCTAACATTCTCTCCACAACCCCACTCTTTACCACCTTTCTCTGTGTGTTTGTGTGTGTTTTTCTTTTTTTGCTAAACATTCGAAAAAACCCCATTAAGTTTTTTTTTTCTGCAGAAACACCCTTCTCTAGCATTCTTTGATGATTATTACTACAAGTTTTTCTTGATCTTGAAGGGTATAAATAATCAAAAAAATAAAATTAAAAAGGATGAAAATAGCAAATTTCGACCTGTTTTTGTCATTTAGCCGGCAGAAATCAACCCGTGCGCTGATTGTGTTGGGTGTTCTGTACGTAATCTTCGTCACATTCGAAGCTCCATTCCTTCTTAAAAATGGCCTGAGCTCTCTCTCTCAAGAAGGCAGTTTGTTCACCTCCACCGGAAACGGATTTTCCAACTCCAATTACTTCGTTTTCGAACATTCCGGCGACGACGGAGACTCCCCCCTCCGCCGCCCCTTCGCCGCCGACGCCGCCGATCACCAGTCGAACCCTTTGAGGCAAAACATCAAACACCTGGTGATCAAGTCGCGCCTCTCGGGTCTGAACCTCACCGCCGGCATCGCCAACGCGGTTTCCTCACCGGAGGAGGAGAACGGGATTATTCAGTCGGCGAAGGAGGCGCTCGTGCTCGGGAAAAAGCAGTGGCGGGAGCTCGAAATGATTGGGCGGAGCAACAACAGAACCACCAGCAGCAGCATAGTAATTAACGTTAATGGCGGCGGCGGTAATTATACTAATAACTACAACAAGAGCATCATTAATAATAATAATAATAATAATAATAATAATAATAATAATAATAATAATAATAATAATAATAATAATAATAATAATAATAATAATAATAATATTAATAAGATTAATAAGATTAATAATAAAAATGAGCATTGCCCGCATTCGATATCGATAACCGGCGATGAATTCTCCGGGCACGGCAAAGTAATGGTGCTGCCGTGCGGGCTGACGCTAGGGTCCCACGTGACGGTGGTGGGGAAGGCGAGGGGGGCCCACGTGGAGACGGACCCGAAGATATCGGACGAGGAGTATTTGATGGTTTCGCAGTTTATGGTGGAGCTGCAGGGGCTGAAGGCGGTGGAGGGGGAGGATCCACCTAGGATCTTGCACATTAATCCTAGGTTGAAAGGAGATTGGAGTGGCAAACCTGTAATTGAACACAACTCTTGTTATCGGATGCAATGGGGGACTGCTTATCGTTGCGATGGTCGCAAATCTCCGCCCGACGACGAGACCGGTCAGTCGAATTCTTTGAATTATGTCTTACGAATTGGATTTCATGTTTTTGTAAGCATGTTTCAAAAATTAAACATTTTTAGCCATTTCAGTAATTTTTCCTTTAGTACTAACGTAATCATGCGCCTGTCCATCACTAAATTAACTGACTGACTAATGGTAAATTAACGAAAATGACAAATAGTGTTAATTATTTAAACATGATCGACGAAATGTGTGTGTGTTTTTTTTACATGTGGGATCAAATGTGAAATTGGTGCAAATTTGAGGGTCGGCAACTATAATTTGTAATGGCTTCTAATAATGGTGGCGGGTTTTCGCGGCGAAAACGAGCATTTATAAAGAAATGCTAGACTAATTTCAAATTCATTTAAGAAAATATTATTAATACTAGAATTGTCGTACAATAACGTGCAAAATATTATTAACATTAAAAAAATGTAAACGATATTAATTAAAATGGAAACGATACTAGTTTCCGTTGTTCCGGCAAACCATGCTTCTACTATTCATTCATCTAGTAATGATACTTTGTCCTGTAACTCTTGATTGACGATTTACATATTGTGCGTCTCGTTTTATGCCGTTTTATTTGAATGCAATTTGTTTAATACATTGCTTGCTATTGACTAATTATCTGTATTCTGCATTTCTTTGTGACTTTTTGCAGTGGATGGATTCGTAAAATGTGAGAAGTGGATTAGAGACGATGATAACGCATCCGAGGAATCAAATGCCACTTGGTGGCTAAATCGATTAATCGGAAGAACCAAGAAAACAGCCACTTTCAATTGGCCGTTTCCTTTTGCAGAAGAAAAACTATTCGTGCTGACACTAAACGCTGGTCTCGAGGGTTACCACATGAACGTCGATGGAAGGCACATTGCCTCATTTCCATATCGAACCGTAAGTATATATATATATATATATATATATATATATATATATATATATATATATTTTTTTTTTTTTTTTCTGCTTTTCTTGTTAAAATTTTTATTTTGATGTTTTGTTATATGTATTTAAGGGATTTACGCTCGAGGACGCTACTGGATTTGCTGTGAACGGGGACATAGACGTAATTTCCATATTTGCTGGTTCGTTGCCCACGTCGAACCCTAGTTTAGGTCTTCAGACGCATCTCGATTTATCCGATAGATGGCGGGCCCCTCTTATACCAGACGGGCCCGTCGAGCTTTTCATTGGCATTCTTTCGGCGGGAAACCACTTCGCCGAAAGGATGGCCGTCAGGAAATCTTGGATGCAGCACGAGCTAATCAAATCTTCTAAAGTCGTCGTTCGTTTTTTTGTTGCTCTGGTAAGTATAAAAAGAAAAAAAAAAATAAAAAAAATTGGTTATTGAAAAATAATGAAATGCTTCTTAAATTTGGACAGCATGGGAGAAAGGAAGTAAATGTGGAAGTGAAGAAAGAAGCCGAGTTTTTCGGAGATATTGTCGTAGTTCCGTATATGGACAATTACGACCTTGTCGTTTTGAAAACTGTTGCCATCTGTGAATACGGGGTGAGTTAGTTTATTTCTTTTTACGGATTCGAGGATTATTAATTTTTCGCTGCCTAAGTTAATTAAATGTGGGTTTTGTTTAATTTGTCGTAGGTTCGAAGTGTATCGGCTAATTATGTAATGAAAGGCGACGACGACACATTCGTCAGAGTAGATGCAATTGTTAAAGAAGCAAAGAAAGTGAACAAGAACAAGAGCTTGTATATTGGAAATATAAACTACCATCATAAGCCCCTACGCTCCGGTAAATGGGCCGTTACATACGAGGTACATACCGTCGATTTTTTATTACCTTTTTCACTATTATTATTTTAGGTCGATGCATTAAATTGTAATATTACAAAATCAATCTAAAATTATTCGTATGTGGCATTTTAGGAATGGCCCGAAGAAGATTATCCACCCTATGCAAACGGGCCGGGCTACATAATCTCATCCGACATCGCGAAATTCATCATCTCCGACTTTGAGAAACGCAAGTTAAGGGTAAGTCCTAGCTTTATTGTTTTTTTTTTCAAATTACACAATAAAAAGGGCATCATTATTAATAATTCTCGACAATTTGACTCGATTTTGCAGTTGTTCAAAATGGAAGACGTAAGCATGGGAATGTGGGTGGAGAAAGTGAATAAAACGAGGCCCGTAGAATACATACACAGCTTGAAATTCTGCCAATTCGGATGCATCGAAGATTATATCACCGCTCACTATCAATCGCCGAGGCAAATGCTCTGCCTTTGGAATAAACTGAGACAGCAAGGGAGGCCTTTATGTTGCAATATGAGGTGAAATTATCGAACAACATTTTTGCACCGATTTAGTATGAAAAAAATCGATTGCTGTAAATCCTTAGACGGTGTTCTTCTTTTTTCGAGTTCCGTACTCGGGCTGAGAAAAGAATGTGCAGTTATTGGTATCTAGAGAATAATGGAAGAATCTTTGACAGGTTATGGTAAGAATTAAGAAATATGAGATGTAATAATAACATAGTTTTTTCTTCTATGTTACATTGTTGAATCTTTGTAGTAGAAGTGGTTTATCTTTGTTGTTTCTTAACTTAGGGTTCTATTGAAGTGGTTTTGTGAGTTAGTAAATGTATTTAAATTAGTCTCGATTTTTAAATTGGATAAAATGAACTTCACCCCCTAAAAAAATCACTTTTTGCACTCCCCCCCTATAAATTGTAAAAAGAGACTCTCCCCCTTTAAAATTTTGTTCTAGTTATACTTCGCCCCAAATTACAATTTTCAGCGTATTTTTAATCGAAATTGCTATGAATCTGTCCAATTGAAAGGCACAAATCACCGTTATAACTGCTATCTGAAGAAAACATTGGAAGTTCTCTCAATTTTGATATCACAATAGGCACAATTCGTTTTGGGAGAAAATATCATAATTTTTTTTCTTCGGAAATTTGTGAAATGGATTTTGTTTTTCGTCTATTACAAAAGATAAAGATATTAGGGTTTGGACGAGAATAATAAAATGACCAATGGCAATTTTGATAAAAAAAAAAAAATTACGCCGGAAATTGTGATCTGGGGCAAAGTGCAACTGTGCAATTGGAATACAAATTTGAAAGGGGAGAGTCTATTTTTTTAATTTGTCGAGGGAAAATGCGAAAATTGGAAATTTCTAGGTGGCAAAGTGCATTTTCCCCTTTCAAATTTCATTAATTAGTAGTTTTGCTTAAACAATAATTTTGGCCATTCTGACTTGGGGACAATTTGGGTAGTTAATAATTCCCTAAATTTATAAAGTATTTCTAGAATTCATATACACCTTCTGAAATTATAAAGTATAAATTAATACAATATACATTTATGACTAATTTATGAAGAGTTGATAAATAATAATTGAAGTCACTTTAAATCTAATCTTTGATTTTCTCGTAATTAAAAAAAAAAAAAAAAAGAGAAAAAGAAAATTTGATGCCATTGTTACTTTAAAAGTTTTATCTCAATGAGTAAAACTACCATTTTTCAGGTTAGTTGCATTTATCAGTTTCAATGGCATTATAATTATTTTCGAAATTTCTGCAGTTATTTCAAAAAAAGAAAAGAAAAAAGGATAATGAAAATAGATATGAACGCGAGGTTCATTGTTTACGATAATTCAAACATACGATTATATTTCCCACCGGTCTTCTTCATGTAATGATATTTCAAACATGTGATTAAATTTTGGATTTCCCAAGTGTCATCTTCATGTTATTGTTTCTCTACATTAGTAAATATTAATTCATATAGAATTTAATATTTCTCTAAATTAATAACTTACAAAAAAAAGCAGCTGGGTTTTTACCCGTCGCAGTGATATTTCATTCATTTTAAACTTTGAGGTTTTTGAGAGAATATTGAAGTTTCAAAGTTTAAAATGAATGAAATATCGCTGCGACCGGTAAAAACCCAGCTGCTTTAAAAAAAAAAAAAAAAAAAAAAAACAGGGTTTAGTGTTCGAAAGCACGAAACTTGTGCATAGGTTTAGTGCTCTACAACACGAAACTATAAGAAAATGGGTTTAGTGCTTTAATACAATACGAAACTTGTGCATAGGTTTATTGCTCTACAACAGGAAACATTCAAAATCTTTGATGATTTCCTGCTCTAGAGCACGCAAGCTTTAAAAACATTAAAATTCTTGAAAATTCCGTGCTCGAGAGCACGGAAACTTCAAATTTCTTGAGGATTCCGTGCCATAGAACACGAAACCTCCTCAAATTCAATTTTTTTTCGATCTCCTAAACTTAATCTTAAACCTACATTTGTTAACTATTTCGTAAATAAATTGATTGAAACTAAGTAATTTAGAAGGAAAAAATACCATAATCGAGAATCGTAAGTGACGGGTTGAATGCCGAAATTTTGGATGATTCTCGAATGTTTGAGAGAGTTTGTGAAGACTAGGGAGAATTTTGAAGGGAAATTTTTAAAATGATTGAAATCCCAATGCGACTAGTAAAAACTCCGTTGCAAATATCAAGTCCCTATCATACACCTTTGCTTTTATTTTTCATCCAAAATTCAAGAAAAAAAATGTATTAAAAAAAATCAAATTCGTTAATACATATTTTTTCACCTACTTTAGATCAACAAACAATCAATACACATCCATACTAGTGTGTATATGAATACTAGATCGTTAGCGATCGATGCATGTATACATCTCCGAGTGTAGCACATATTTGAGGTGTAAGTTCAGTTTGCACCCCCGAATTATGGGGTATGTGCCAAAAACCTCCATGAGCTACAAAATGTAACAGAATAGTCCCTCCTTTTCCAATCCGTTTGTGTGTGATGATGTGGTGAGTTTACTTTTTTTTATATTCAATCACTTTTACGACAGCTAAATTTGACAATGTTTGCCCTCAATTCACTAAATTTGTATATATATATATATATATATATATATATATATATATATATATATATATATATAAAAGGGGTCGAATCGACAAATACGAGGCATTGAAGGTACTTGAAAAGAATTACCTGGAAGTTGGAAGGCATGTTCATCGGTTGTTCGAATCTGTTGAGGAGTTGATCAGAGGTTGATATAACGCCAGCTGACGTGGCAGAGAATTCTCATGCCGAAATCGGTCAAGCAGTCTAATGTTTGTACTATTTAAGGATGCCATGAAAATTTCGATAGGTCCTGAATCCCGATATCTAACATCGAAATCTTTCGTTACAAATATCAGTACAAGTATATTGTACAACGACCGGAAATCTGAACTAGAAGAGTTTCTCATTCATATTTCGTTTTTGTTGCTTTCTCAATGTAGACATGCATACTGTAAAAAAAAAAAAACCGACTAAATAATCAACGGGAATTTTCTCGGATAATTGGCGGTGAGAGGGAGAAAAACTCTACAAGTCATTTTCGTCTTCATCTCTCGTCGAATTGGGACCGTCGTCAAAACCAGAACCAGGAACAACTTCGTTTAAATCAAGCAACCGTCTCTTTTTAACACCTTCGACTCCTTCTCGATCTCCGCAATCAACCTCCTCCGTCGGATCGATTTCCTTTTCATCCAGCTCCTCAATTAGCTCATCGTTGGCTTTCTCGTAAGAATCTTCACTACCACCACCCCTCGAGAACTCCAACGCAGCAGCAGCAGCATTCGACTTCTCGGATTTCACCGTGGGCCCCACATCATCGGATTCCGACATTTCCAACTGGCTATAATTGATGCGGTTCTTGGTTGACCTTTGACTTCGCCTGAGACCCGATTGGAGCTCGTCGATTTTTCTCGATTTTTTCGTTTCCCTTGTATTACGCCTCGGGTATGCCTTGAATTTACGAGGCTCTTGATCGCTATTATTATCCTCGCTCGTACTTAAGATGACATCATCATATTCTTCTTCTTCTTCTTCTTCGGGATTTTCTTCATCCCAGTTATACTCTTCTTCGCCCTCTGAGCTACTCGATAATTTCTTCCTCTCTTTCCGTTTTTTTAAATACTCTTCGTCGTACACTACTTCCCCAACTATATCATCATCACTGTCGAAATCTGCCTCGTTATCCGATACAGCTTCCACAAACTCTCTCACCGAGTACCGTTGAGGCCTCTGCCTTCGTCTATTGCTACAAATCGTAATAAATCTAGTTTCATAAATTTATTCTTTGATAATAGCACACTCGCGTAAATTAAAAAAAAAAAAAAAAAAAAGAAAGGGTACCTTCGATCCAATGCTTCGTCAGCTTTTTGGTCATCGTAAAATTCTTCATCATCTTCAAACGATTCGGGAGAAAGTGGACTAAATGAGAGATTTTGAGAGTATTGTGAAGGGCCGCCTGATTTACCGTTATTTCTAGAATCTTCTAGTCTCGGGAAAGAATCTTTGCCATCGAAAGGTTCTGCCGATGGCTGTTTTTTCCTGAAAAATATTATAATGATGAAAAAAGGTGAGGTTTTTTTGTAATTAAATTATCTGAAGTTTGTAGAATTTTGTGGGTTATGAGATTCGTACTTGGTGATTTTTATAGCTTCGTTTATTGACCGATCATAATCATCTGCACAGAAGAATAAGAATAACAACATCAAGGTTGGAATTTAAATACTTCATCACATTCCAACAAACACCTAGATTATGCCGGAATTAGCACTTTCGGAAAATTGCCAAAAAAAAAAAAAATCGGAAGTGAAAATCTAATTCCAATTTTGTTCCCAAAAAAATGGAAATTTGGAAACTGGAATTTTATAAAAAAGTTGTTACGAAATCGGGATTTTTTGGATTGGAATCGGCAGAATTCGGAATTTCAATTTGGGCATTTTATAAAATAATATAACGAGTACAATTTTTGAAAATCAAAATTAGATCGAAACTCGGAATCAAATACGTACTCCAATTCCCTTCCAAAAAGAGTCAGAATAATTGGAAATCAGAATTTTTGAAATTCAGAATAAAAAATGTTGGTCCAAATCCGAAATATTCAGATCGGAATTGGGGAACATAGAAATTTAGTTCCAATTTATTCACAAATGAAAATTTGACAATTCACCAAACATATATTATTTCAAATTATTCCGAAAGGTCCAAAAACCATCAACGGGCGCAAAAAATGAAATTAAATAACAAAAGAGAAAATTAGCTAACGAAAGAAGTATATTTCGCGTACCAAAAGTATTGTAACGAGTTTTCTGTCACGTCTAGATTGGAATCTAATATTAATTCCAATTCCATTCCGAAAAAAAGTCGAAAATTTTTGGAACTCATAATGAAAAATGTTGATCCAAAATCGCAAATATTCGGATCGGAATTGGTGAAATCGAAAATTCTCTTCCAATTTACACCCCTATCTATTTGTGGGGTGTGAGTGTGTGAAAGAGAGAGGGAGGGACATGAATCAAAATTCAAGAATCGCCACATATATTATTTAAAATTATTCCGAAAGGTCCAAAAATCATCAACGGACACGAAAAATGAAATTAAATAATGAAAGAGAAAATTATGTAACGAAAGAAGTATATTTCGCGTACCAAAAGTATAGGTAACGGGTTTTCTGTCACGCCTAGATCGTCCAGCAGGAAGACCGTCAATATTCATCATATTATCGAGCATAAGCGCTTGTCTGTGTTGCTTTTTCAACAGTTTCTCCTTCCTCTATAGAAAATAAAAGGCATCTCTTATTAGCACCAATCATCAAATACAGAATCCCCGTATAATATAAAAAGAGAAAATAATATCCCGATAAAAGAAAAATGAAATTCAATCATCTTTCAAGGACGAAATAGTAAATATTAACCTTGTGGACTTTCTCGATTTCAGGGAGCATGATATTCTTTAATTTCTTTCCAACTGAAACCTCTGTTCTGTTTTTACTCGAGAAGAGCTTTTCCTGTATAAATAAATAAATAATTAAGAGAAGAACATTAAACTGAAAAGCTAAGTGTAATAAAATGTAGTGACCACCACAATAAAATAAATAAAAAATGGGTAAACTGCGAATACCCCCATGACCTTAGGCTAAATTACGAAAAACACCCCCACCTATCCGTAATTACAAAAATCCCGTGACATTTGTTTCCATCTTACACCAACTCACTTACAGTACCGACCCCCTTACAGTGTAATTTTTCATGGAATCTTTTTTATTCCAAGTAATATTTCCCAAAAAATGCCGATTCTACCCCTACAAACGTGGCATTTCTTTATGCTACTCTTTTTAATGTAAAAATTACCCTCCGGGAGCCTTTACACGGAATCTTTACTTGTTCTTAAATAACACATTCACAACTTTTTAGTACGCCATTACCCATCTGAGGGTAATTATTTTCTTTAAAAAGTAGCATAAAGAAATGCCAAGTTTGCAGAGGTACAATTGACATTTTTCGGGAAATATTAACCGAAATCAAAAAGATTCCGTGAAAAATTACACCAAAACGCCGGGGGGATTTTTGTAATTACGGATAGGTGGGGTGTTTTTCGTAATTTAGCCTAAGTTCGAGGGGGTTTTTGTAATTTACGCTGAAAAACGAAGACTTACAGAAACATTTTGAAATTCGTCAAAATTAGTAGCGACTGCTTCCCATTGATAAGAAGAATGAGGAATCGGAGGAATATTCCTTCCTTTTCCTTTTTTCACCTCGACTCTTCGGATCTCTCTGTACAGTCGATGACCAATGATTGGATCGTCTTCATACCTAAACAATAACAAGAATCTAAATCGAACTTTCTAACTTAAAAAAAAAAGTACTATACGTAACGCAGAAAAGATATAGTATCCATAAACAACGAAACCCGATTTATCTTTGCAAGCAATATATAAATTACCAATATGAGATTCCGTAAGAATCGCCACCTATGCGTTCCTTACGAAATGCTGAAAGCTGAACGCCTCGTTTTATTGAGTCATCGATATAGTTCCGTATATCTTCTTGCTGTATAAGGAATACACGTAGAAAAAAACATAGCAATTTTACCATTACTAAATAAACACTTGGTAATTATCAACTGTGACAAGAAATCCAATAATAAATCAAGAAATTTAATTCGTGAAAATATAGCTAAAATACAATAGTGTTACCTCGACACGAATATCGCACAACGCCTTGAGAATCACTACACGAACACCGGGATCAAGTGCATTGTATGCCTCGATTTCAGTCCTAAACCAAGAAAACCCCAAACACGACATGTAAGCATTCACAACTTTGTGTATCGCATCCACTTTTTTTTATTTTTTTATTTTTTTATTTTGATCGGAGATATTTTTACTTACCCATGTGACGCAACTATAGGCAGATCTCCTTCCGCAACCTGCAATAAAGCACGACGAAACTAAGTAAATCCAAAAGCGCTGTTACGGTGATTATTTAAAAAAAAAAAAATCGAGGGTCGATAATAAGATTTTACCCAATGCCACCAGTCTCTCAATTTTCTGCATACAACGGTAATCCAAGTTGCACGACCAAGTGCCATTCTAGTGACAGGTGGAATTGCCTATAAAAATGCAACAAAAATCACATAAGATTACCGGTTACGATAAATCTTCCGTACAAGTATCAATTACAACGAAACATTTCAAAAAGTTAAGCGAAAAAATGTTACAAAATCAATTCGTTGTCTCTATTTTTTTGGCTCGTTTTTTTTAAGGATAGCGTATAACAAAGTTTCCCTATGGAGAATTTACGGCATTTAAATACAGATTCATATCAATATAGGAAAGTTATCTTCGAGTGTAACAATAGCCGAATTGGAATTCTATTACACGACAGATAATGCGCAACTAAATCCCGCCAAGTAAGTCACTTTGTAATTAACATAAGAGAAAATCGGCACTACCTTTGACTACCACAAGTAAAGATTTGCATATGTAACAACTTTTTATTTGGTGAATATTAATACGGAACATCCGCACTTCACTAAGATGATGCTCACACAGATGCCTAAATTTCATAAACCAGATTCGTTTATGCTATAGTCGAACAAATTGCATGATAGATTAACCAAACTTTCGTCCAAATTGCATTTACCTTCACTACAGAATGTCAATATAAGCAACGGGTATCAGACAACCTAAGACAATGTTACTCGGTAATCTCATGAAAAGACACTACCAATTTTTTTTCAGAAAATCAACGATGCGAACATCAACTATTACATTAACTTGAAACCAAAGATCACTCAATTACCAAAAATCGCAAATTTGCATACGAAACATTACTTAAAATAAAGCGTTTACTGAATAGGAAATCGCTTAACTAACCTTTAGTAATGGGATATGTATATCGGCAAGAGTATTGTTTGGAGTAATCAAAGCCGTCTCAAACTCCTCCGCCGAAAACTCCACTTTAACATTCAATAAAGGCCTAAACACCTACACATTCACAAACACATACGAAAACAACAACACACATTAGCTTCAAAACCACCAAATAAAGTTCAAATCTTTATTTTCTTTCTCGAGATCAACATACATTCAAGAAATCAAGAATAGAAGCCAACTGCCACATGGACCGTATATTCCACCGCGGCAGCTGCGAATCCTCCGGCTCTCCGACCAGCGGAGTAACCATTCTACTGAATTGCAACCGTGGCAACGAAGAGGAGGCACCATTCTCCTCGTCTCCACCACCACCTTCCTCCTCCTCCTCCTCCTCCTCCACCGGAAACATCTCCTCCTCATCGGAATCCTCCTTCAACGGCCTAACCGATAAACTATCCCGCCTCTTCGCTTTCTTCCTCTTCCTCCCCACTTCAGCCGTGGCAGCCTCCGCCGCAGCGGCGGCCTGCAGCCTGGCCGCCGCCCGCTGCGTGCATGCCCTCGACGGCCTCTCCCTCCTAACTACCAAACTACTGCCACCACCGCCATTGTTGTCAACAGCAGCACCACCATTCTTGATATTCTCACTGTTGGTGTTGTTCTGGGCACGGGTTTTTTGGTGGATCGGACCGAAATGGTCCGGCCCAGTTGAGGGATCGGGCCCGGTACGGTCTAGAGAAGGGTTACATGGAAGATCAAGGGCTTGCATTGAAGCAACCCGAGAATTTATTGGTTCAGAACAAAAAAGCTTGGATTTTTATTTTCTTTTTTAATAAACTAAAAAAAAAAAAACTACCACAATTATTGGGTGCTAAATACTAACAGCAAATAGACTAATAAAATACTGAAGAGGATTATGAAACTGCAAACAAAAGTGAAAAAGGGGGGTTAATAATTAGATGATAATCACAACAATCATTGTTGGGAAGAAAAAAATAGAACTGGGTTTTTTGGAGTTGTGGTGAGTTCGTCAAGACTCTTTAGAGAGAGAAAGAGAGAAGGGGAAAGGAGGAGAGAGAAAGAGAGGACAAACAGTCAGATGTTTGAGGAGAACTAGATTTTGTGAACAGGCTAAAAAAAATTAAAAAAGAAAAAACCCAGAAGTTAATGTTGGTAGAGATGGTAAATAATGAGGATTTGGGTGGTTAATTTCGACCCGGAAAAGGGTGAATTCTTGGGGGGTTAATTGACTGTTTTTTTTTTTTTTTTTTTCTTGAATGTGGTTTTGGACTTTGGAGAAGAAGAAGAATTGAAAAATTATTACTGAGGAATTAAACTTTAGTTTTCTGAGGAATTGAGGGGTAGATTTCATATATTGATTGTGTTTGTTATAATACGACGCCGTATGCGGGTTTACTTTCTTGCTCAAATGGATTCTTGAGTCAAACATTGATTCAATTCAACATTGTGACTTATTACAATTCTACCATTCTGCAGGAATCTAAGAATGTGGTTATTCATCATTGAGTCCATATATTGATAAAATTATCATATTAACTTTGAAAATAAAATAAATATAGAGATGTGTTATTTTCGCCCTCAAAATATGTTACTTCACCACCAAAATTAAATTTTTATTTTATTTTACCCATTTTTTCTTGTTTCACCTATATTCTGTCCAAATTTATAAACTGTCCACCACTAAACTAATTAAAATATTTGTAGAATAAAATGTCCACCACTAAACTAATTAAAATATTTGTAGAAAAAATTCACCATTGTTCAGTGGAATTTTTACCACAAAATTACATCATCTCCACCTTAAGTGAACAATACCTTCGTCAGAGGAAAACATCTCCGAACGTCAGAAAGAGTAAGAATTCACATTCTTGGAGAAATAAATTAAGAGTGTTTGTATGGAAGGTCCTGAACTTCCTCCATAATTAGCCAATTTGACATAATATAATTTGGTTTCCTCAAAAAAAAAAGAAAACATAATATGCAGGTCTTTGATATGAAAATTTAAATCTTTTGTAATAAATATTTCCGACCAAAAAAAAAAACTTAATATATGAGAGTTAAGCGAATATAAAGAATGATGGTGGATTAAAATTTTGAGGTGTGTTTAAGATATTTTATATATTTTCTGTTGTAGATTTAAATAATTTGGAGGTAAAAATAACAGTAGCACCACTCTAAATATATTAGAAAATATTGGGATTAATATGCTTGGGTCCCTAGCAAATTTAATTAGAAGTTAGAACTAAATGAAAACCTCAAACTATTTTTTTTAAATACATTCCTATTTTCAAAATATAATATATCTCACATCCCTAACTTTTTTTTTATCTCTAACTTGCCCTTATATTCTAAATATAGCATCCATTTATGTACGTCTCTCCAACAAATATTTGTTTCTTTTCTTTTATTCCCTCTCTTTTTTTCTCTCGTTCTCTCTACATGTCTCTCTCGCTCTGTTGCTCTTTCTCTATCTATATATCTCTCCCTATATGTCTCTCTTGCTCCCAGTTATGGTGGGTGGCTATGGCGGCCGTGGGGTGGTCATGGAGGTGGGTATGGAGGCGGTGGATAACGTGGGGTTGTTATGGCGGCGGCTATAGAGGCAGTGCATATGGTAGGTTTTGTTATGGAGGCGGTTATGGTGAGTGGCAGCTAAGGAGGTCGTGGGTACGGTGGAGATAGTTATGGAAGCGGTTAGGGGCGGTTGTGGTCAGAGTTACAATAGGGTGTGGTTATGGAGATAGGGAAGGGCGAGAGGCAATGAATATAGAGGTGGCGACGGCTATAGTGAGGTTTTTTCAAATCTAGTTTTTTATTTTGGCGGCTACGGCGATGGTGATTGTAGATCTAGGATGTTATTTTTGGATGACTATGAGTTTCATGGGTGTCTATGGTTGTATGGTTGGCTGGCGGCTAGAGTTCAAAGAGGGAGTTACGATTTTTTAATTGTGCAGTTCAAATGACTATGGGTTACTACGATTATTACAGGTTTCTATGGATGTGTATAGGTGGCTACGGCAGTACAAATGACTATGGGTTACTACGATTACTACGGGTTTCTACGGATGTCTATAGGTAACTATGACCGAATTTTAAAAAAAAAATCATAATTTTCAATATTATATAGAAAAAAAGAAAAAAAAATAGATTTTTATAATACTTAAAATATTAAAATTAAAAATAAAAAAAGGTCATGTTCCACATACAAAAAGAATATTAGATGCAAAAATAAAAATGTAAAATACGAAATAAAAAAATGATAAATACAATTCAAATATTACTTAGTGTATATTTTATTTGTTGTGTGTGAAGAGCATTTTTAAAATGAAATTTATAAAGGATGTGAAACAAATGTTAATTAAGTTTGTTATTTAGTTCTAATAAGTTTTGTCATTAGAAACCTATATCTAAAGATCCCTAAAATATTAGGATTATATTTCACCAATGGTACTCTGCAGATTTTTCTTTAATGAAATAACTTATTTTAAACTTTTATGAGTGGCTTATCTTTTTTCTTTTAAATATATAATGCGAAAAATTACTTTTATTCATGGTTCAAATATAAAATGGCTTATTTTATACACCCCTTGTGTAGCAAATAAATTAAGGATAAATCCAAGGGAAAATCATTCTTACGCAAATTCTCTGGAGGGGCGAAAATACTGTAATGTCGTTATATGCATTTTTTTTAGCCAAACTATATTAAGCATTTATCCATAAAAAATAGGCCTCGACTAGAGGAATCCAACGATGAGTAGCCCGTCAAATTCCGACTATCAAAACACCAATTACTCCTTTCGCAAGATCCAGTGTCGTCGAAATACACTCTAACGGTAAAACGATTGCAAAAACATATCGAGTGCTCCAAACTGAATGAAATCACCCCCAAAAGAAAGAGTTCGACGAGAGAAATCCAACAGTAATTAAACTATCGAATTCCAAAAATTCGACGAGAGAAACACCAGCGTCATATATGCTTTCTTGAAAGCATTCAAGAATTCTCCCCATCTCTATCTTGTGAGTTTGTCTGATTTAATCTTGAAGAAATAAAAATTGCCAACATTTATATCTCATTTTGATATTCAAGAAAAGCGTAAAAATATTCTCTCTCCCTCTCTTGTGTATGTGTGTGTTTTATCTGGAATGCTGAAAAATTAGGAAAAAGTAGAGTTTGCAACCCTGAATTATGGGGTGTATCCCTACTCCGTAACACCACAGAACTATAAAACATAACAAAAAATCCCTAATAGTTTAGGTCAACGTTAAAAAGAATAACACTGTTAAGTTTGAGTCACTTAAAATATTTTTTTCAACAAATTAAGTCATTCACCTTTAGGACAAACCACAATTAATTGGGCAAATTAACAGAAATTATCTATAATCTAGGGTTGAGGTGGTTGTTGTCTCGTTCTCCATGCATCCATATTTCCGATGGCACATCACTCACCAGCCTCTGCCGTAGCAACCAAATTAAACTTCGTCACACGCGACGATTGTCCTAACTCTCCTGCCCCATTTTGGCTGCCAAATCGACTACACACGCACTTAGCGTGGAACCACTGTCTCCTCCTCATTCACCATTGCCCTAAGTCCAAGAATTGTTAATCTTCTCTTTCTTTGTCTTTATGAATTTTCCTACTTTGACTTTGAGATGCATCAGTTCATTTGTAATGCTAGCTAAATTAGCCCAATTTTTTTCGGAATTTTTAGTTTATGAAATATTTTTGAATTTGGGCGAAAATTAGAAATCAATAGATTTTTCATAGTTAATGGTTTTATTTAATTTTTAAAAAAATAAAATCAAACAGGTTGATGATGCTAATTAGTTAGATCACCTGATGTAGTGTAAAAAATGAGCTGGGAGAGCAAAACAGATCAGTAGCTTGACAACTTGATGATCCTGAGGTCCCTGCAAAATGAGCACACATGAACTAAGCCGGGAGTTGATCCGGCGGAAACCCCTCCCGCAACAAAACATGCGCTGATCATAGAAATAGTCGAGAGAATACATATTATAGTATTGCTCAGTTAATAGGACGTACCTTAAGGAATGAATTCAAACCTTTATTTATAGCTTAGTTGAGATTGTCGGACCCAAACCTTACTTGAAGGTGATTGGACCTCGGTGATAGTGGTCTTCGATATTGGGCTCGTGGCCCAGTAGGTAAATAATTTGTAGGCCCATTGGGTTGGCCCAATTATGCATATCACAGGTGTATATATATATATATATATATATATATATATATATATATATATATATATATATATATATATATATAATACATATAATACATGATACGAAGGGTTAAAACAGTCAAAACAACAATAAAAGTGATTAAAAATAAACAGGCCACGTCAGCAAGCACAAATGGATTTGAAACGAAGGGGGTTTTATTAAACGAAGGTGGTTTTTATTACATTTTGTAGTCGATATGTTTGGGACAACCCCATAGTCTAGGAGTGCAAACTTTACTTAAAATACAATTTGTAGATGTTCTTGAAAGCACTATGTCCATCTCCCTCTTGTGTGTGTTTTATATGTTGCCGAAATATAAATTATAAACATTCATCTCTCACTACATTTTATTTTGATTTTCAAGAATAATGAAAAACCCCACAAGAAACCCTAATTGTTCATGCGTATTTTATTTTGGGTGATGCAGCTTCATTTGAAAATCAATTGCAATCATGATTGAACCGGCATTAATGTTTAGTGATTGGTTAGAAGCAAATCAACATCCCTACACATTTGATTTAGGAATGGATGAAGAATTGGGGCACGAATTCATATCTAATGCGGCCAATGCAGCTATATCCCTATTGTCGTTGAGTTCTTTAAGTATACTGACGAAGATGAAAATTATGAGAAGTGCTCGTATCCGCATAAAGCGAATTTTCATTTGGCCGACGGTTTTGCGTCACTACATTACGCACGATTGTATGTTGTTTGCCATGAGTCAGACTATCCCTACAATGCTGACAAATTTAATAGGAAGACAGCCATCCCTAAGGTGTAAGTATATGTGAAGGATGCCATTGACAATGGCCATCCAGAGTTAGGGTACATACCTCTATACAAATGTTTTAGGTATAGTTTTGGACACAAAATACGTTATATTTCATTTTTTTAATAGTTCATATTTCTAAAAAATAAAATTAATTTTTTTGCGATTATGTATTTCGGACAGCTCCGAGTAGAATTTATTAGGGAGACTTCAATATGTATTTTGTATGTTATGAGATGACTGCGCTGTTATTTCCTTTTGGTTCTACAAATAAAAAAGCAATCATCTACGTGCTGAAAAAGTTATGTATGGTTGCCTGAAAACTTGATGTATGCATAATTCTTACATTTTGTTTCTTTACCTTCTTACTACATTTTGATTCTTTATATATTTTTTAAATGTTTATTTTGTATGTTGGCTTATGAAACTGAATACAAGTTCAGTTTCATTCCGGAGATACACAAGTTTTCTCACTCTCTTTTAATGAGTATTTTTAAGATAAAGATTTATTCTATCCCATCGTTTGGGGTGACTTTCTAGAGCACCTAATGAAATTAAAGTAATAGGTACATTCTAATAGCAAGCACAACAAAGAGAATTTTTAGGGAATTTCTAGAAATAATCAGGATTAGTTTTCGTTCACATTAAGACAAGATTTAATTTTTTTTTTGTTCTGAGAAATTCAAATCATGTTACACATTGGAGAAGTAGGGGAAGGGGGAGTAGAAAAATAAATTAATAGTGTTTATATAAAAGGTCCTGAGCTTCGCATAATATAATTTCGTTTTCTCAAAAAAAAAAAGAAAAACATAATCTGCAAAGTCATTTGATAAGAAAATTTTCAAATATATTTATTCATGTTTCAAATATAAAATGGGCTTATTTTATATACCCCATGTGCCTAATAAACTAGGGATAAATTCGAGGGGAAATCATTCTTAGTCATATCCTTGAAGAGGCGAAAGTACTATAATGCCCTTATATGCAATTATCGGTCAAACTGCATTCAACATTTATGGCCTGCATTTAGCATTTTATGTATGTATTTATTTATTTATTTTTATTTTTTATTTTTTATTTTTTTAAAATACCTTTTTGTTTAATTTGTTATTTTTTTATTAATTTTTTTTTCCTTAATTTTTTTAAAAATTATTTTTTTAATTTTTTTTTTAAAATCGATATGTCTGTACTGAAAATAACTACATGCAACTGTAATAAACTATAGTCATTCGTAGTTGTTCTTTCTTTTTACTCCAAATATTTAGTCGACCAATTATGTACGCACGAATATTGGCTTATACAAAAGAAATTCATAAACCCCAATAACAAAAATTTACAATTTCAATACTTATATTATACATCACCTCATAAACAACAAATACAAATAAAAAATACACAAATATATGCATATATAACTACATATAATCTCCAATGTATTATAATACATAATATGCATAAATATATACAAACGAACAATATGACATTATCTAGTAAATTTCATCCATAGAATAAACAAAATATTACCATTTGTCCTCTTTAAAGATGAAATGAACACACTGGAAATATTAAATACGAATAAATAATTATTAAAAAAACACGATATCTATAACATCGCAGCCGATAGTAGGTCCCACATGCGACACCTTCTGTCGAACAAGCTTTCCAAGTAAGAAACACTCTGCTCTTTGTACCGTAGCCATTGCGGATTAAACGGTGGTACGGGAAATTCATCGCACATACGCAACAGAATAAAGCTCCGCGGAGTTTCTTCATATCCTACAGCCATCACACACGATAACCGCCCAAAACCATCGGGCGAGACCAGGGGCAAATGGGTCATTTTCTGTTTTCCAGATATCTCCACCACCATCGCGTTGTAACACGTGGCTATAACTAACCCCATATCCGATAGATTCATCCACCGCTCCGCCGGTGCTGACGTGTCCGTCCAGTGACACAATGATGACATCATACGAGCTACGTGTTGCTCCCCTTCCATCCCACCACCATACACCGTTGTGTACATTTCGAACCGATCGGAAAGCTCGGTGAACAAGGCTTTCCTTACTTCCATCCAATGATCTTGACTTCCCATAACAACTTCTGCTACACATCTGTAACCGCAGTTACCGTTATTAACCCAAGAAAGTACAAAGGGCACGACAAACGCAGGTACGAACTCACTAAGGTCAAAGCTCGCACTCGTTTCTTCTATAGATCCCGATGAAGATAGAGTAGATACATTCTCCTCGGGTGGGCATTTTGGTAATTGTGCGGGTGGCTCTTTCTCAGGATCAATGTATGGGAACAATTCATCCAAGATTTTGTTTTGTTCAATTTGCGGCAGCAAACGCAACTCGTCGAGCAATCCTACCAGCCTAGCTTTGGCGGCTTCTTTGGCTCTAATTTTCGGCAAACAGTTCACACCCGTAGTTCTCCAGAACAAATGAATTTCATCGCTGTAGATTATATTTCTGTCGCGCTCTTTTTCCGCAATCTCGTGTTCACATGGGAGGCCGTGAGTCGATCTCAAAGAACAGCTACATTTTTCTTGATGTTTCCATAATCCTCTCGACCATCCAGCCCTGTGCTCGTGATCCATCTTTTTCAGTGCTTCGTGTGTGACAACTCCCGCCAGATTCCGGAAGCTCCAGGGGTAGGTCACGGCGTGTGACTCAGTCTTGCTCGATTTGTCTAATTCGATGAATATTTCATCAATCCGACCCTCCAACTGCGAGTCAACCAGCTTCCACATAACGTCGAATTTGTCGGTCGAGGAGCACAGCCAACTCTTCAGGGACGAATGAACACTCTCCACTCTGGAAAAACCAAACAAATACAACGAAAAATTAAAAACTCGTATTTAATATTTATTCAACAGAGAAACGCAGAAGTAACGGAAATACATGTTCATCGTCGTGTTGCCAAAGTGCATAACTTGATCGGTCCAAGCGCGCACGAAATTCTCCTTGTGCACAAGCCAAGTTTCTTGGATGTACGTTAGTAGCGGACCGTAACTCTTGCAGTGCTGTAATATTTGCCCATAGCACATCTCAAATTCCGGCACCGATTGAGAATCCACCATCCTTTTCCATAGCCCAGTTCTGAATGCAGCACCGGCTCCTTTGCCACCCATATGCTTCGCTGCATTTAACTGAACATTTTCGTCTACATGGTTTAAACATAGAAGGTGGTGCGTCTCCGGGAAAACGCAATCGAGCGCCTTCATTAGACCCACCTCCCTACGTGTCACAATTGCACCGGGTCCCACGCCATCGTCGAACAGAGACTTCAAGTTCCACATTGCCCATCGATAGTGCTCCTCGGAACCATTTCTCGAGAACGCCACTGCAACATTGAAGCTCTTCCCCACAGGGGTCGCTCCAACAATCTCCAATAGAGACGTCTTATACCTATTATAAAACAAATAAAAATATTATAAACTGCAATATTAAATAAAGGGAACAATTGTAATAAATCATGCAGTACTTGTTAGTTTCGTATGTGGAATTCATTTGCAGTACGTATGGGTATAGCTTTAGCAGCTCGATTGACTCTCGATGGACGAACATAACGTCCATTATCTGACCTGTACTCGGATCCGCTCTAAGCCATTTTACGTACTTATTTTCCTCAATACATTGCATCAGTTGTTGCATAAGTGTTCTCCCACTCATAGCTTCGGCTTTGATCTTGGTTCTCGCATTATATATATGTCTCAACGATGTTTTGATGCCCGGATTCTCTTTCCTCAAGTGCTCCAAAATATCCTTCGGTTTTACGTTGTTCTTGAGCAGAGCTGCAGTAGTTTCGTATTGTTCTTGAGTTAATCGACTAACTAACGAGGAGCCGTAGTCGTATATCTTCAAGGGGTGGTTGTGCTTCCCATTCGTTATCGACAGTTTCCATACACCGTTTCTTTTCTTTCGGCCTGACAACATGAAAGGGCACTGACATTTTTTCGTGACATTAGTTTTTCCCGTGTTTCGTGCTTTCCCGTAGCGCTCACACGTTATAAATACGTTATCTATTTTTGTACTCTGTGTAATTAGAAACATATCATGTTCCCGACCAGTTGACTTTGCCCATTCTTTCAGTTCCTCTTTACTGCTAAAGGCCTCGTTTGTCATAAAATACTCACTGTAATCAACTTCCTCAAATGTCTCTAAATTAACCTGATTGAAAAAAATAACAACACGGTCAAGAAAACTTCCCAAAGTATCTCGTGTTTAGTAAAAGTGGTTGTAGCAAATCCCGAAGAAAAAAATATCAAATAGAATGCACTGTAAGGCATAAATGAAGGAATTTACCTTCGTTTTTTTCACCACAGGCTTACGCTGCCTCTTTCTGGGTTTTCTAGCTTTGTCCAAAGCCCCATTAGCCTCTGTGATTAGTATAAAAGACAAATTATAACTTTGGTACAGAACAAGAGTTTTCTGCGAGGTGATAAACGAAAACAAAAAGGAATTTCCATGATCGAAGCAACATACACAATAGTGCGTGTAGAAAACTATATGAAACTAACCATCGACTTATGCATGGACAAACCAAACAGTAGAACATATATAAGTGTTCGATCACGTCAAAGCACATATCTCTCTAAGTCGTACGAACTCAAAGAAAACGAATGCATCAAAAAAATCGTTTCCCTTCACCGAAAAACGAATAGGCAAAAAACCGAAATCAGATACTTGACCCACTACTTAAAAGTTAAAAGTGACAGAACACAAACGGCAAAACGAAACAAAACCACAAAATTCCTTTCTTTAGAAACTCACTGATTTCGTTCGGTTTTTCAATCTGCCCTGTAAATGTCACCGGAATATTCTCCAAGATTCCATCTTCTCTCACTGCAATCCTCCCCTCTTCATTCTGTACAACAACGTTGTCACTAGTTTTAGAAGCTATTGTATGAACACTTTTTTTTTTTTTTTTTTTTTTTTTTTATACTTCAAAGTAACAAAATCTTCATCAATAACACATGCACAAATCTTTTAAACTGAAAAATCAAAAGAAAAATCAAATTTCCAAATAAAATAAAATGTTGGTACACCAGGACACGATCAACATAAAACCTTCAGATTGTGCAAAAATTCAGGCAAAATTGGATTGAAATATACAGAATTTGAATACCTTTTCGGAGATTGAAAAACAAAAACCCAGGTTTACCAGCTTCAAATCCTTTTCGGGGATTTCCCAGGCGAAAGCGTCGTTAGGGTTCATGATTTGGCACAATTGGCCGTCTTCTTCACTATTTCATGGACTTTCGGAATTAATTGATTTATTTTTACTGAATGACAATGCCAAACGTCGTCGTTCCTACTGATACCTTGCTGTTTGCTGTCTTACAGAGAGTGGTTTTTCGCTTTTAATTTTGGGGGAAATGTAATTAAAATTTTCGGTTCGAGTTTTATATATATTTATATTTATTTATTATTTTTATTTTTTTTTATTATTAATATAAAAATAACTAATATATACATATATATTTAAAAACAAAATTACAGATTAATGTTTTATTATGTATTTTTTCAGTTTTCATATTAATAATTTATAATAAAAATAAGGGCAAATTACGGCCAACCCCTGAGTTATGGTCAAATTACGAAAACCCCTTCTGTTTGGGTAATTACAGCCACCCCTTATTTTACATTAATATTATTTTACAAAAAAAACCCCTACAGAGGTGAATTTAGGGATGTTAAATCAATAAACCGAACCGGAATTTTGGTACGCCAACATTTCATATACCGTTTACCGAATTGAATATACAATTTGGTTCGGTAAATAACCGAATTACATAAATTTTATATAAAGATATTTAAAAGGAGGGGTGACTGTAATTATCCAAAGAAGATGGATTTTTTCGTAATTTGGCCATACCTTAGGGGTGGCCGTAATTTGCCCTAAAAATAAACATTAATATTATGTAGAAATTATAAAATAAAAAAACAAAAAAAAACAAAAAAAAAAAAAAAAATATATATATATATATATATATATATATATATATATATATATAAGATGAGATGAGCTCGACCTCGACAGGCTCGGCTCGAGTTCGAGCTCACCAAATTTGACTAAGAATGTTCGTTTTATCCTAACATTACAGTGCATTCGAAATGACGACAATAATTACGATAATTAACATCTGTTGTTTCGAAGACAAGTTTATCTCTATTACATTGCAGCTGATAGTAGCTCCCACATGCGACACCTTCTAGCAAATAAGTTCTCCAAGTAAGCAACACTCGGCTGCTTGTACCGCCGCCACTGCGGATTAAACGGCGGCACGGGACATTCATCCGACACACGCAGCAGAACAAAGTGCTTCGCAGTCGCTTCGTATCCTATACCCACCACGGACGATAACTGCCCGGCACCGTCCGGCGAAACCAAGGGCAAATGCGTCAGGTTCTGTCTCGAAGACAGCTCCAACACCATCACGTTATAATGCGTGGCTATAACTAACCCCATATCCGACAGAGTCATCCACCGCTCCACTGGTGCTGAAGTGTCCGTCCAGTGACACAGCGACGACATCATACTAGCCACGTACTGCTCCCCTTCCGCCCCACCACCGTACACCTTCGTGTACATTTCGAACCGATCGGAAAGTTCCATGAACAAGGCTTTTCTCACCTTCATCCAGTGATCCTGGCTTCCCATTACAACTTCTGCTACACATCTGTACCCACAGTTACCATCGCCTATTACATCGACCCAAGATAATATACTGGGAACCACAAAAGGTGGTATAAATCCAGTAAAGTCAAACTTAGTACTCGTCTTTTCTTGTGGGGCGGTCAACAAAGCTAATGACAGACTATGACCTCTAGATCCTGACGAAGATCTCGCAGGTAGATTCTTCTTCGGTTGACTTGTAGGTTTGTAGCAAAGATAAAGTTCCTTTAGTATTTCCTTCTGTTCGTTTATAGGCAGCAAAAGCAACTCTTCGACCAATCCAACCAGCCGAGCTCTAAGTTCCTTGTCTCTAACTTCTTCGTTGTGATCCGACTGAAAATCGATGGACGACAAAGCGTCCGTACTCATAGTCCTCCAGAACGAATGAACATCCTCACCGTCGAACGCGTCTCCGTCGCGCTCTTTCTCCGCAATCTCGTGCGCGCAAGGGAGGCCGTGAGTCAGTCTCAGAGCGCACTTGCACGATTCTCGAGAGTGTCCAACTCTGTGCTCTTTATACATCATGCTTAGTGCCTCTTGCACGACGACTCCTTCCAAATTCCGAAAGCACGGATACGTCACGACGCGCTCTTGAATCTTGCTGGATTTGGCAAGTTCCGATAGTATTTCGTTGATCTGACACTCAAACTGCGAGTCGACCTGCTTCCACACATTGTCGAATTTGTCGGTCGACGAGCCCAACCACATTTTCAGAGACGAATGGAGTAGCGTACAATTAAGAAAATACGTGTTCATTTTCGTGTTTCCAAAGTGCATAACTTGATTGGTCCAAGCATCTACAAATCTATCCTTGTACACAAGCCAAGTCTCTTTGAGGTACGTTAAGAGCAGAGCGTTACTCTGGTGGTCACGCAATATTTGCGCATGGTTCGTCTCGAATTCATGCAGCGATTGAGAATTCACGAGCTTTTTCCACTCCCCGCACGTGAATTCGTCACCAAGTTCTTTGCTGCCCATAAACTTTCTTGCATTTAACTGAACATTTTCGTTTATATGGGCTAAACAGAGAAGGTGGTATGTACGTGGAAAAACGTAATCTAACGCCTTCATCAGGCTCGACTCCCTGTGCGTCACAATCACGCCGGGCCCCACGCCATTGTCGAACAGAGACCTCAAGTTCCCCAGTGCCCATTCGTAGTGCTCCTCAGATTCATTTCTCAAAAACGCCACTGCAACATTGAAGTACTTCCCTACAGGAGTCACTCCGATAATCTCCAATAGACACATTTTGTACCTATTATATAAAAACAAATATTAATACAAAGAAATCGATGCACAAAAAAAAATAAAAAAAATAAAATAATGCAGTACTTGTTAATCTTGTGTGTGGAATTCATTAGTAGTACATATGGGAATAGCTTTAGCAGCTCGATTGACTGCCGATGGGCGAACATAATATCCATTATCTGGTCTGTACTCGGATCCGCTCGGTGCCACTTTACGTACTTATTTTCCTGAATACAATGCAAGAACTGTTGCATAATCGTCTTCAAACCAATAGTTTCAGCTTTGAACTTGTTCACCGCATTATAGATATCTTTCATCGATGTTCTGATGCCTGGATTCTCCTGCCTTAGGCTGTCCAAAATCTCCTTCGGTTTTACACGATTCATTATCAAAGCTGCAACAGTTTCATACTGTTCTGGACTTAATCCGTGACCGAACGAGTGCCCGTATATCTTCAAGGGGTGGTTGTGCTTCCCGTTTGATATCGACAGTTTCCATAACCCGTTTTTTTTCTTCCGGCCAGACAAGGCGAAAGGACACCGGCATTTCTTTGAGCCCTTAAATTTTGTGCTCTCCACGTCAATATTTGATTTATTTCGTGCTTTACCGTAACGCTCGCACGTTATAGTTATTTTACCTCTGCTCGTACTCTGTGTAATTAGAAACATATCGTGATCCCGACCAATTGACTTTGCCCATTCTTTGAGTTCCTCTTTACTGTCAAATGCCTCATTTCTCACAAAATATTCACTGCAATCAAATTCCTCAAATGGCTCTAAATAAACCTGATTGATAAAACAATAACACAATCGAGAAATCAGACGCCTCATACATTTATTTATTTATTTTTGCTCGTTAATTTTTTTTCTTTTCTTTTTTCGGCAAATTATGCTCATTTCAAGAAATGTTGATTTTTTTCATTAAAAACGACCAAAATGTACGAAATGTACAGAATGTAAATTTCAAGGGAAATGCCTTTATACATAATTAACTCTTTCAAATATCTTGTTTCAGTAAAAGCGGTTCTTCAAGTAGCAAATCCGAACAAGAAAAGAAAAATCAAATATAATGCACTGTAGGGCTTAAATGAAGGAAGTTACCTTCGTTTTTTTCGTCACATGGTTGAGTCTATCCTCAAACTGCCTCTTTTTCTGTTTTCTAGTTTTGTCCAAAGCACCATCAGCCTCTGTAATTAGTGCAAACGACGAATTATAATGATGGTAAGGAACAAGAGTTTTCTGCGAGGTGAGAACAAATAAAATAAAAAAACAAAAGCCAATAAAACACAAATTGCAAGTATCATACAAATAAATTGGACGTGATTGAAGCAACATACACAATAGTGTGTGCAAAACTATATGAAACCAACTATTGACTTATCTACGGACCAAACGTGACAACAGATAAGTGTTTCGAAACTTGAAATCGAACCATGGAATCACGTAATTTTTGTATATGCACTACCGATTTCAATCGGAAACTTACTCATTTCGTCAAGTTTCTCAATCTGCCCTGTCAATGTCTCGTGATTATTCTCCACGATTCCATCTTCTCTCACTTGCGTTCTCTCCTCTTCATTCTGTACAAAAGCTTCATCAATAATTCATCCAGAAATTAAAAAAAAAAAAAAAAAAAAAAAAAAACACACACACACACACACACACAAAAGTTTCACTGACTAAATACCCAAAAAAATCAAATCTTTACACTAAAACAAAATGATAGTAATAGGACACATAAAACTGCAAATTGGGCAAAAACTTACACAATAATTGGATTAATATATACATAAACACAGAAAATGAACTAAATCAAAATTTTCCAACCAAAAAAAATAAAAAATCGGAAGTTTACCCACCCGGTTGAATTCAATTTCGGTGATTTCCTCGACGAAAGCATCGGTAGGGTTCATGGTTTTTGCCTTCCCTTACTCGTCTTCACTAATTCATGGATTTTTTTGTTAATTGCGTTAAATTGATTTATTCTCCATTTTCTTCTTCACCTTGAATCACAATGCCAAACGTCGTCGTATCCACCTGATAACCTAAATTGCAGAGCCTTAATGGAGAGAGATGACGAAGAGTGGTTTTTCGCTTCTCAAATTCTGGGGGAAATATTATTAAGTTTTCTGTTTTTGAGGTTTGTTGTATTGAAATAAGTAATTTTGCTAAAAAAAAAAAGGAAAATTGATTATTTCGAAAGTGAAAAGTTATTTCCAAATTTGTTTCAAGAAAAAATCGGAAATTAGAATTTTGGAAATTGTAATTAAAAATTTTGTTCCAAAATTGGAAATTTTCCAACTAGAATCAGTCCATTTTTATTAGTCACCTAAAATATAAAATGAAGATGGGTATTTTCAGAAATGAAAATCGGATCGAAAATTCGTATATTACAAAAAATATTGTTCCAAAATTGTGTAGCTTTTACGTTTATTATTTTGTTCTTGTTAAGAATATAATTTTAACTACTTTGATTTCTATTATGGATTTTTCTTTCTTTATTTATTTATCTTTGTTAAGAAAAAATTTATTGTTATTTTCAAGTTATAGAAATGGATACGAAATTGTCAAATTGCTACATGTAATTTGCTAATATTGTATTTTTTTTTAACAAACGATATGAATTTTATTTTCAATCGGTTGAGCTCTAAGTTTTGTCACGAATTCGATTAAAAAAATGTATTAAAAATCAAATTACTCGAACCTGTTCGAGATCGAATCTGTTGCTTATCAAACAAAACTCAAACACAACATTCAAAAGCTCGATAATATTCAAACAAGCTTAAACAAACATGCCTTTAACTTGACTCAATTTGTTTACACCCCAAATACTGGAGGTGGAAATTGGAACGAAATTTTCGATCTCCACCAATTCCAATCCCATTTTTTTTTTCTTTTATTTTGGAACAATATTTTCAATTCAATATCCTAAAATCCCGCTATTTTTATGATATTATTGGATAAAATTGGAATATATATGAGTTCTGCTTTCCAATCCGATTTTAAGTTTTCGGAGATAATCCAAAAATTATGTTTTTTTCCAAATATCGCACTTAAAATACCAATATTATTGTGTATTTTATATTTTAGGTTACCAAAAAATAGAAATTTGCGAATCCCACCGACTCTGATCCGAAATTTTTCGATTTTGGATAATTTCTTCATTCCAATTTCCAAAATTCAGATTTTTTTTTTCGATTTTTTTTGGAACATAATTGGAACTAGTTTTTTCACTTCCAAAAAAAATCGGATTTTTTTTCCGGCTTCTTCCGATCCAATCCGTCCCATTTACACCCGTACCGACCACAGACTCTCCTATATCCCATTTCAAATAAGCATTTTTCTCCCAAAAAAGAAAAATAAAAATGGAATAAAAGACACCAAACAACTCATGTAAACAGAACACAACATCAACAAGGCATGTTAATGCAATAGTCATGTTATTATACTCTATCATGGGGGAAAATACAACCTATATTACAAACCCTAAATCGATATCGATAAATACTCATTCGACATCATCGGTAAGCACACTCCATCTTCGAGAACGCATAAGCCTCCTCATTACAACATCTTCGTAGAACTTTCTTGTCCGAAAAAACAACCACAACGCAACAACAAAACCGGAGAAAGTAACGGACGCCATAATAAAAAACGACACCATAAAACACCGACGCCCGACGCACGTCTTCCCAATTTCAGACACTTCCTTGTCATATAAATACCCCACCACCTTAATAGAAAGAACATAAGATCCAACGGGACCCGCAATAGTAACGGTGTTAAATATCGTACCGAAATGCCCTTTCCCGAATATTTCAGAAGCAATTGTCGGCATTAACGACCACTGCGAACCGTAACAAACGCCCACCAAAACGGAGCCCGCATAAAGGGCACCGGGAAAACCCGAAGCAATCATAGCATGACCGACGGTCATAGCAAATAGAGCAAATACGATGAACAGTGGTCTCGAACAACCTTTGACATGCAAGAAATAATCGGAAATATAACCACCTCCAAACCGACCAATGAAATTCCATATACTCCATAGAGAAACTAACGTGTTGATCTCTAAGCTCGTGTAATTAAGGGATTCCCCTATTTGGCTCATGTTATTCACCGTGGCAAGTCCCGACCCCATAGCGCAAGCAGTCGTGTAGAACAAAAGCCAGAAATTGATCGTTTTCATCGCTTGCCAAAGATTTAGGTTTTCATTCGTCTCACTAATTTGGTCCGAACCGTTTGATATCTCGTGATAATCGCCGCGATGTTCTCTCTCATCGGAAATTTGGTTGTGCTCGAGAAGGGACTTGACCATTCTGTAGGACTTATCTCTCTGGGCTTTAATCGCCACGATAAGAGGGGAAACTAGCAGGAACATGAGTAGAACAAACGTAAAGACGCGAACCGACACTTTTAACTTGAGAACATGCTGGATGACTATCGTGGCTGTGAGATATGCGGCTAGAGTAATAGCAAGAAACGAGAAGGCGTTCAGGTGCTTTTTCTCGTCCTCTTCGTTTGTTTTGAAGATTCTTACGAATCCCATTAGGGCAATGGAATTGATCGAGGGGAGTAGAGCTAATAGCAGTAGATATGAAGTGGGGTTGTTCTTGAAAATCGTCTGATACACTTGAATCAATATGGCTCCACTCAGACCGAGAAAGCCCTGTCAAAAGTCGAACATTAAAGCACATATCAAATTTGAACAACCCTTACGTAATCAAGTATAGTGTTCTTACTCGAAATCTAATTCCAAGAATCCTGATGCATTCAAGAAAATTATAGTACCAAATATATATCAAAGAAAGCATTTTTCACACACACCTTCATAAAATTTAAAGTATGGGTGCAAACATACAGTAGAACCTCGATAAATTAATAACCTCGCTTAAATTATAATTTTTACGGTCCCGACTAGGTAAAAACGTACTAAATTATTAGCTCGACAATTTAATATTTCGCTAAATTAATAGAATTTTGCCAGTTTTGATTGGATTAATTTATAGAGGTTTAACTGTATTTTTTTTAATGAAATTTGAAATCAATCATAGTGTGCTTTGACAAATAACACCGCTGCAACATATTTCGAAAATATCGAAAACTCACTCAAAATCAAGATACCAAGAATCTGCTCAACACATTCAAGAAAATTACAGCAACAATATCAATCAAAGTAATCAAAGAAAAAAATCCCACATTCAATTAAACCTCTATAAATTAATAGAGCCGGCACTAACAAAATTCTATTAATTTAGAAGAATATTAAATTATCGAACTAATAATTGAATAGGTTTTTACCGGGACCAGAAAAAAAACTATTATTTAAACGAGATTATTAATTTAGCGAGGTTCTAACATACATACCTTCATAATCCCAACAATGGTTCCGCTGTAGCTAGGAAAATTATGAACCCCAGTGACCACATTAGCCGTATTGAAGAAAGTCATGGCGTGGGCCGCCACCAGCATGTAGCAGCACATCACCGGCGGCGGCGCCGCCGGCAGCGCCCCAGTGACCGTGAGCCACATGAGGAAGTAACCGGCGAAGCACTGAACGGCGCCGGCGAGGAGGACGACCCACGGACCGCGGGAGGAGGCGGCGGAGTAGAGGAGGCCGGAGAGGACTCCGACGTTGGCGCCGATGTCCTTGAAGACGGAGATGGTGTCGAGGGTCGACTGGGTGTAGCCCTGGGTGGATTTCAAGATCGGGGAGTAGATGGAGAAGGTGTAGAGGGAGCCGCTGGTGGATTGGATCCATATGCTGGCGGCGGTCGCCACCCATTTGTTCCTGATCAGGGATTTTCGGCTCGGGTTGTAATCCAATTCCATGTTGTTTTGCCGCCGGAGGAAATTAGTAATCAGGGTTTTGACGGATCGGAGGTTTGACTTTCACATTTTCTGTTTTTTGAAATTCAGTTCTTGGCCTTGCTTCCAACTTGTGACTGTCTGAGAGCCACGTGGCTATTTAGTTCAGTTAAAGGAGACCCACGTGGGATGATCTTTATATGGAAACAAAATAATTTAGAGTGATTTATGAAGAAATTATTTCAGGATTAATATAAAAAAATATAATTAAAATTTATAATCCTCAAACAATCATTTTCCGTACGTTTTATTTTTTAATAAAAAGACATAATATATTGGGGAAATTACAAAAAAACCCATCCTATTTGATAATTGTAATTTGTAGCACCTATCACCTATGATTTATCTTAAGAAAAAAAACCTTCTTTCAATAGGTAAATTTAACACTATAAGGATGGACATGTAAGAACAATACATAGTTGAGAAAAGTGGTTGTAATTATCCAAACATGATTTGACTTTACGTCAGGGAGTGGCCGCAATTTGCCCTAATATATTTCCAAGTGTTAAATTTCAAATTATTTTGGCCCCATATTATATAACTAGGATTAAACGGCAAAGTTTGGTAAAGGCGTACAGCCGAATTACCTAAAAAAGATGCAATAGAACTACAAAAGCCACATTAATACCATCATACTGGTTTCAAAAGTTTGCATAAACCCTAATCGCAATTCGCTAACAACACATGCCTTGGCAGATATTCTCGATTCGAAAATGGAATAAACAAGTACAGATCTTCCAACAACTCTACATTTTACGATTAAAAAGTGTACCGATAACCTATCACACAATTGTGCAGCTTAATAGTCCTGAGTTTGCTGCTTTCCAGTGTGCCTTGCCAACGCCACCTGTGAAAAAGTAAAACATTTTAAAATAGATCTCACACGAACAAATTTCGTCTTTCCCGTATCCATATGTCATATTGATAAACCCTACTAAGGAGAGATTAATATCAACTTTAACCTATACACAAGTTATTAATACAAACCAAAACTATTGTAACATCGTAACATATTGAAGCTTTAAAAAAAATAAAAAATACTAACATATTGTAAAAAAAGATCTAGGCTCATGTCGGAAAAAACTTATTTTCCGGAATTTTCCGACCTCAAAAACCTCTCAAATTGTCCATTATACTCGTGAGTTTAATCTCTCACTGTTTTTCAATAGCAGTACTTAAAGTTTGCACATTGTAACTGAAGAAATACACGAATAATCCGTCTAATATCGTACACATCTGATTGCACATAGTATTCTTTTGATGTTGCAGTCCCTAACCAACTCTGCTCCGCAAGTATAATATTATATGACAAACCTTTACTCTCAATACAACTACCTGGGAATATATCGAATAACTTTTGAGCCAATAAGTTGAATACTTGAATTACTAAAAGAATTTGATATTTGGGAAGCACTTATGATTTAAAGAATATATGTTACGCTGGTGCATCGGTGCATTTCCCTTAGGAAAGAATAGTCCAAAATTTGGGATTCAACCCCACAGTAATAGAGTCAAAAAACGGGTGTAAACAAAACACTACCTCAAATTCATTCTTCAGGTGATCCAATTCCTTGTCCAGATCATTGATTGCTTGATTATATGCCTGCATGGGCGACGACTGGCTTGTAGTGTGTATCTGCAAATTAAACCATCAAACACATCAAACCAAGGCAAACACGAATCCAGTCAGATAAATTCAGAAGCAAAATTCCCTTAAGAGCAAATTAAGAGTTTTTCTCACAAGAAACTAGATACATCAAAGGCAATAAAGGCATAATATTTCACATTTTCAAACGAAAAAAAAAACCCGGCTAGTGGAAACTCTGTCAAGGTTCTAGATAGCGAAAAGTCATGTGGGAATAGTAACTAAAGACAATCTACGCGGCATTCAACTGAGTCACCATTGTGAAACTTGTATTTTTCAGACACAACTGTAAAAGCAAAGGGAGATTTAAATTATTTCAGCTGCTGATGCATGATAAGGTCAATATTAAATCATGGATGCCCTGCCCCAATCATCAACGTATATCGTGATAGACATAATCATACATTAAAATTAAGTTTTGAGGCATACCTTAGTCTCAAATGTTCTATATGAATATGAGGAAACACTTAGAAATTTGTGTAATTGTTGGCTCAATTAAGATTTAGGACATACTATAATCAAAATATTCCTAAATTAACAACATGAATAAATTGAGCAACGGGGGAATATGAAATGATAAACACAAACCCTTAAAAGTATCTTGTACTGAAGAGGATGGGGCAACTTATAGCCAGCAAACAACACGTTCTCATCCCTATGCAATTGCCTGTTTCATTCCGCAAAAAAATTAGGGTTTTCGAGCAAAGGTAAATTCTCAACTTGCCAAAAAAAAAAGGCAAATATAACTACATACATTCGGACAATGTTGCCTATGGTGTGGTCCTCACGCTCGACTGTGAACGAGGCTGCATTGATGATCTTTGTGTCCCTCTCGTACGACACCCTGTTTTATCAATCAAATTTCAACCATCCCCCCAAAAAAAAAATGGAAACAAAAAAAGAGGGCAACATATGAGAGAGAAAGAGATAGTACTTGGAGACACCCTCGGGAACGACGAATCTCTCGTAACGATCAGGGGCATTCATTGTTGTTTCTTCACTTTCGGCTTCCGCTTCTACAACTTAAACCCAGTGTTTTTAAAGCACAAAACCACATTTTAATTTTTAATTTATATATATATTTTTTTCTAATTGCATGTTTTATAAAAATAAACTGAAACAAAAAATTCCATCATTTAAACAACATACACCAATGTCTCAGATACATATAACAACATTCTATTTTTTTTTTTTTTTGATAAATAAAATCAACACTGTACTTCATAGCATCATTCCCGTTATCAGTGTGTTCTATTTTTTTAATTTTTTAATTTATGTTATTAATCCCATTCCAGCTTATAATCCCCAATCAAAAGCACCCCCACAGAATTTCGTTCCTCCGGCGAATCAAATTCAAAACATGCATGAAAATACAAATATTATACAGAGATGGCTTACAAGGGCTTGCGGCGGTGGAATTTAGCGGCGAATTGCGGCAGCGGTGGAAGCCCTAATAGCGCAGGGGCTGTGCTTGTGCAAGTGAAGAATAATGGAAAATTGCAATTCGTTTTGTGCTACTGTACTGATCGCTACCTTTTGTGAAGTTTATTTATTGATTACTTTTTAATTTTGTGCCTTTTGATTTTTTTACCTTAACTTTAAACGGCGTCGTTCGCAACCGGTTCGCCTGTTTGCCGGTTTACCCCAGTCCAAATGGGGTTTTGCGTTGGGCTGGGGTTTATTAACTTTTAAAGTTATAAACATCTAATTGGCTCGTTTGGGCTAGTCCATTATTTACATATTTTTATTCTTGGGAAACGTGCTAGAACAATAAAAAATAAATTAAATTCATGCATATATATACGTGAACTAAGCCGGGGTAGATCCGGCGGGGTAGATCAGTAGCTTGCCAAATTAGATAGTCCTGAGGTCCCTGCGAAATACACGTAAACTAAGCCGGGGTAGATCCGGCGGAAACCCCTCCGACGCTCAAATCAGATGTACGGTTCGTTGAGATGGTACATGGTAGAGAGAATATGTGCTTTAGAATGCTTGTGAATAATAGAACGTATCTTAACAAATGAGTAAAAACCTCTATTTATATGTCGTTGATTGAGTTGGGTTTACTTTGTTGGGCTCAAGCCTTATTTTGAAGGTGTTTGGGCTTTCGAGTAGTGGGCTCAATTATTAGATAAATTGTGGGCCCATTGGATCGACCCAATTATGTATATCATTAAGCCCCTAACTCTCGAGTCGAGGCGAGAGATTGTCAAAGGGGTTATAGATCGTGTCGAGAGTTAAATGTGCCATAGTTTGACTTGTTTCCATTGTCGTAGGCAAATATTATATACTTAAACCTCGTTTGGTTGCCAAAACAAAATTAATCAAAATAATATTAAATAATATAATGAAAATCCAATTATTTTATCGAACCTGGATCATCCAACGAAATTATGAAGCAAAAATGATCAAAGAGTAAGAAAAGTGTTGCAATTAGGAAAATAAAATCAAAATAGAAGAGAGGATCCCTCAACATCTTCGGTAGTGTCCACGAAGTCGAGCATAACTTTCTCATCCGGACTCCAAATCGACTGGTTGCGGCGGCATTAGAAAGCTATTTCAGCTGGCTACAATTCCTGTCTAATGTCAAATTTCCAAATTCGGACTCGAACATGGCCAAAATTGGATTCCAACAGCGATCATTAAAATACCCGCTACAGTTCGAGGACACGAATGCGCATCAAGAAACGTGCACAAAAACACTCGCTAAAAAAGGTACGCACATAAGTAAGGGTACAAAATCATGCACAAAATTACTCACGCAATACTGCATTCGCAAAAAGGATCATGAAAACACAAACTACAGTCCTAGGACATTAATACAAATCAACAAACATGCACAAACACACTCCCTCAAATGGACATGCACAACGGTACATGTAAAAAAACATGCGCAAAAGTGCATTCGCCACAACGTTAAGTACAACACTAGGACTTTAATGCGCATAACCAAACAACAGCAAAACCAAAAGATACAAAAGACACAGTGGAGTGTAGAAATAACACTCAACGTTTACGTTTACGTGGATTTTTTTATGGATTAATTTATATTTCTGTTTTAATTGGTGGATTTAGTATTCTATAGGTACAAATTGATAATTAGGTGTCCATGAAGCAAAAATGATCAAAGAGTAAGAAAAGAGTTGCAATTAGGAAAATAAAATCAAAATAGAAGAGAGGATCCCTCAACATCTTCGGTAGTGTCCACGAAGTCGAGCATAACTTTCTCATCCGGACTCCAAATCGACTGGATGCGGCGGCATTAGAAAGCTATTTCAGCTGGCTACAATTCCTGTCTAATGTCAAATTTCCAAATTCGGACTCGAACATGGCCAAAATTGGATTCCAACAGCGATCATTAAAATACCCGCTACAGTTCGAGGACACGAATGCGCATCAAGAAACGTGCACAAAAACACTCGCTAAAAAAGGTACGCACATAAGTAAGGGTACAAAATCATGCACAAAATTACTCACGCAATACTGCATTCGCAAAAAGGATCATGAAACACACAAACTACAGTCCTAGGACGTTAATACAAATCAACAAACATGCACAAACACACTCGCTCAAATGGACATGCACAACTGTACATGTAAAAAAACATGCGCAAAAGTGCATTCGCCACAACGTTCTGAAAAACACGAAGTACAACATTAGGACTTTAATGCGCATAACCAAACAACAGCAAAAACACAAGATACAAAAGACACAGTGGAGTGTAGAAATAACACTCAACGTTTACGTTTACGTGGATTTTTTTATGGATTAATTTATATTTCTGTTTTAATTGGTGGATTTAGTATTCTATAGGTACAAATTGATAATTAGGTGTCCATGAAGCAAAAATGATCAAAGAGTAAGAAAAGAGTTGCAATTAGGAAAATAAAATCAAAATAGAAGAGAGGATCCCTCAACATCTTCGGTAGTGTCCACGAAGTCGAGCATAACTTTCTCATCCGGACTCCAAATCGACTGGTTGCGGCGGCATTAGAAAGCTATTTCAGCTGGCTACAATTCCTGTCTAATGTCAAATTTCCAAATTCGGACTCGAACATGGCCAAAATTGGATTCCAACAGCGATCATTAAAATACCCGCTACAGTTCGAGGACACGAATGCGCATCAAGAAACGTGCACAAAAACACTCGCTAAAAAAGGTACGCACATAAGTAAGGGTACAAAATCATGCACAAAATTACTCACGCAATACTGCATTCGCAAAAAGGATCATGAAAACACCAACTACAGTCCTAGGACGTTAATACAAATCAACAAACATGCACAAACACACTCGCTCAAATGGACATGCACAACCGTACATGTAAAAAAACATGCGCAAAAGTGCATTCGCCACAACGTTCTGAAAAACACGAAGTACAACACTAGGACTTTAATGCGCATAACCAAACAACAGCAAAAACACAAGATACAAAAGACACAGTGGAGTGTAGAAATAACACTCAACGTTTACGTTTACGTGGATTTTTTTATGGATTAATTTATATTTCTGTTTTAATTGGTGGATTTAGTATTCTATAGGTACAAATTGATAATTAGGTGTCCATGAAGCAAAAATGATCAAAGAGTAAGAAAAGAGTTGCAATTAGGAAAATAAAATCAAAATAGAAGAGAGGATCCCTCAACATCTTCGGTAGTGTCCACGAAGTCGAGCATAACTTTCTCATCCGGACTCCAAATCGACTGGTTCCGGCGGCATTAGAAAGCTATTTCAGCTGGCTACAATTCCTGTCTAATGTCAAATTTCCAAATTCGGACTCGAACATGGCCAAAATTGGATTCCAACAGCGATCATTAAAATACCCGCTACAGTTCGAGGACACGAATGCGCATCAAGAAACGTGCACAAAAACACTCGCTAAAAAAGGTACGCACATAAGTAAGGGTACAAAATCATGCACAAAATTACTCACGCAATACTGCATTCGCAAAAAGGATCATGAAAACACCAACTACAGTCCTAGGACGTTAATACAAATCAACAAACATGCACAAACACACTCGCTCAAATGGACATGCACAACCGTACATGTAAAAAAACATGCGCAAAAGTGCATTCGCCACAACGTTCTGAAAAACACGAAGTACAACACTAGGACTTTAATGCGCATAACCAAACAACAGCAAAAACACAAGATACAAAAGACACAGTGGAGTGTAGAAATAACACTCAACGTTTACGTTTACGTGGATTTTTTTATGGATTAATTTATATTTCTGTTTTAATTGGTGGATTTAGTATTGTATAGGTACAAATTGATAATTAGGTGTCCATGAAGCAAAAATGATCAAAGAGTAAGAAAAGAGTTGCAATTAGGAAAATAAAATCAAAATAGTAGAGAGGATCCGTCAACATCTTCGGTAGTGTCCACGAAGTCGAGCATAACTTTCTCATCCGGACTCCAAATCGACTGGTTGCGGCGGCATTAGAAAGCTATTTCAGCTGGCTACAATTCCTGTCTAATGTCAAATTTCCAAATTCGGACTCGAACATGGCCAAAATTGGATTCCAACAGCGATCATTAAAATACCCGCTACAGTTCGAGGACACGAATGCGCATCAAGAAACGTGCACAAAAACACTCGCTAAAAAAGGTACACACATAAGTAAGGGTAAAAAATCATGCACAAAATTACTCACGCAATACTGCATTCGCAAAAAGGATCATGAAAACACAAACTACAGTCCTAGGACATTAATACAAATCAACAAACATGCACAAACACACTCGCTCAAATGGACATGCACAACCGTACATGTAAAAAACATGCGC